TGTCTCCTATCTCGAAAAAGATTATGTTAAACGTCACAAAAAAGAAGCATGTTATTGAATATAAAAAATGCATTTTTTTACTTATGACAAATAGTCAACGAAATTGAACAAAAAAAAGATAATTATTAATTTTTTTGTTTATTCGTTTGTTGAACACGTACTCGTCTATCAGATGATAAATGATTATTTTTTTTTGTTAAACACCAAGCTGCTGTTTGCTTATGTATGAATTTGTCGATTCCATTAATATTTATTTTGAAAAATTTATTTTTATCTTGATCAGAAACAGCAGAATATATTCGTATGCCATTGTAATTATCTTTTTTCGAAGTTGTACAGGCATTTTCTGCATCTATACATTCTTCTTCACTATCGACATGGTTATCTACTAGATCAGATGTTTGTTCCACATTTAAATCATCATTATCATCATCATCACTATTCAGTTCAGAATCATCTGTAACAAATATCATATTATTTAAATCATCTTTTATACGTGCACATAAAGTATTTAATTCAAATACATTGTTCTTCTTTAAAAGTGATAACATATCTAATTTTTCTATAAAACATTTCGCATATTCAAATGCATCCTTGATACTTTTTTCAATTTCATTTAATGTTATATTATCTAAATTTTTTAATGTTAATGGTAATGAATTATTTTTATTTTGTTTATGGTGTTCTGGAAATTTTATTTTATTTGAATCATTACTAAATTCTTCAGTTGATTTTATTTCATTTAAGATCGAAATCTTTCTAGTTTTAGAAAAAAACTGTTGAAGTGAAAAATTTGTGATTGATGAAAATGATCCAGTTAGCGCTCTCGCGCTCCTGAACATGTTCTCACATGGTTGAGAACTGAACAAGAAAATATTTAATGATTCAACAGGTAATATTTTGTGTAATACTAGTAATACTATATAAGTAAAAACATGCGCATTTAATTCAATTGAATAAAATGATGAATACGTCATAAAATGTTGTTCAATTTTTCTTGATGATGGTTGTTGAGTTTGAGTTGAAAGTTTATATTTCAACCATATCCACCAAAATCTCGAAATAAAGACTATAGACCATGAATAAAATAATCTCTCTAACACATTTTTTGACTTATCAATATAAGCAAGTGTTACGAAGTGTAAAATAGTTAAGTAGCATTGTGTTCCTAATGTTTTTTTATTTTTTTCCAACATGTTTAAAACATTTAATGATGATATTTTGACACAAGATGAATAATTTTGTTTATCTTTCACGTATAAATCAGATAAAACTAATCCATGATCTAATTTCGATTCACCTTGTATGAGATCTTGAAGATCTTTTGCAGCAATTCTGTATGAACCAATAAATAATGTTGCTGACTTAGATAACAACCTATTTCTTAATTTAGTACAAATGTGAATCGGATCTTGAAAACAAACAAACAATTGTTTTGATCGTAAAAAAAACCATGATGACCATGACTTTGGAATTTGTATATTAAATATATCATCTCGATTTAATAGATTAATGTTTGGAAGTTGTGCAAAATAACCTTAAATATATAAAAATACATTTGAAAAATGATATTTTATGTAATAAAACTAACCAGTAGCTAATCTCATAGCTCTGAGGTATTTGGGATCTGCATCACTAGCAAATCCTACGACTCGAATATTATGAGTTTGACATTGTTCATAGACATATAGCCAACGATAAATTATTGAAATAGTATCATATGAATTATCTGTACCAAAACCAGATAAAAGAAATGATGGTGATGTTACATTTGTTATTGGTTGAACAGTATTAATATTTACTAATGTTACTTGATTAGCTGTTTCAAACCAATTTTTCAATTCTGTAAAATTATCTGTTTGATATTGACGAGTTAAAGGTAAACCATTCACCAATTTCACACAAAAACCAATAAAAGAATTACTTTCAATATCATATTGTACTTTGCTGATGACACTGGTGGAATCTTCAGAAGAATAAACAAATGAACAATTAATTTTATTTGAATAATTCACTAATTCTTTAAAACGAAATTCGCCTTCTTCAATACGTGTACAATATTCATTACTATAAGATTCTAATGTTGGTATAGATGGAAATGCTCCTGGCAAATTTAATCTTAAAAATTCATATAAATTTCGACCACCTAATCCATACACAGATGATGCAAAGCGTCGTACATGAGTATTGTAAATATAGCGATGTTTAGAACGATGCATATTGTCATTTAAATTATTAATAAACGTATCCATAAAATTGTCTTGTTTTATATCTAAATTTTGTTTATTTTGTTCTAATCTTGATTGAGGTTGTAATTGTTGTTCAGGTGATTTATTTTTCAAGACATTTACACAATAATCAAGATTTTCTTTTATAGCTGGTCGAATTATATATTCACCACTTTTTAATTTTAAACAAGCACGTTTTTTCAAATCATCAAGTTCTTCACAGTCAATTTGAAAAATTGAATCTAAATCTTTTGCTCGTAATAAAGCAAGAACATTATTAATTTCTTGCGCTTTTAATATTTCAACTTCAATATCACTAGTCATTTCTTGTATAAGATCATAAAAATCATTAAATTTGATGTTACTAATTTCACAAAAATCGTTATTATTCATATCTGAAACAATTTTTTTTTCTCTAAATAATATTTATGAATAATTAAATACAAAAAAGGCAACAAGAATTAATTTCGTATGACAGCCAAACAAAAAAGCTTTTATGCATATAATTTGTCGATAAGATGGTCCCTAGTCGAACATCTTATAAGTAAGATCTTGATTAAGATCTTAGGTACAGATTTATAAGATCTTAGGTATAGATCCGTAAGATCTTGGGTACATACTAAAATAAAAACTGTTGCATGTGCTGTGATTTGTGACACAATCTGTGATACAATCTGAGAGCGTAGTTCAAACCTATGATATAGCATAATTATTATTTTTTTTCTATAAAAGCATGTTATCAATTTTTTTCAATTATTTTCATTTTAATTATTCCTATTCCAAATAAATGAAGCAAGCCCGATTTTTGAACCTGCCTGCTCTTGAGATGGTTCGATCACCCTCAGACGGCTTCAGGTAGTCCTTCCTCGATCAGCGATCGAGATAGACATTTTCTCGAATGATTAATAGTCGAGAAAGAGTTTTTAAAAAAATTATTTTGAAAAATGTATATTTTCTATGTTGAATCATGTTGTTTATATACGGCTCTTTATGCATAAAAAAACGTTGAATGACTAGTCAGTATATAACCAATAGAGCAATGATGTTGCTTTTTGTTTTTTTCAAGATCTTGTGATAAGATAATAGTGACAGATATAACTTCCATGATCTTAAGAAGATCTTTGGCACAGATTTATCTGATACACCCAGGATCTGAATATACAAATTATCTTTTTAAGATCTGCTCAAGATCTTACTTGTGAGTTCCAAGATTTCAAGATCTTACTTACAAGATGTTCGATTAGGGGTGAATAAAATATCTTTGAGTATGCCGTTAAAGCGATCAAGGAATTTATTTAGCTACAACTATCTATTCAATATATTATTTATTTTATTCATATAACTTTTGCAAATACAAATAAGAACATGATATATTCAAAACATTACACAGCTACAATCTACAAAATAAATAACTCTAATAAAAAAAACCTTTTTTGATCTGATATATAACATATCTTTTGATTTATTGTTTTTGTTTTTTACTTGAATTTTTATTTATTTCAGATCGAATATCATTATGTATTCTTTTTGAAGAATTTGTAACAACAGAACTATTATTGCTAGAAGACGGTGTTGGTAGTTGTGAATCTGAAGTTGATAATGGTTGAGCAGCTGTTTCTTTATCATTTGTCTTTTTCTCCTGTTTTCGAATTCGTTCAGCCATAGAACAATTTGATGTTATTAAATGAGCATAAAAATTAGATAAAATGAATGTTGATGTTTCAGAACGAGATGGTAATATTAATTTTGCACCACATTGACATTTAATAATAGCTTTGAATTTTTGTCCATCTTGTGTAATTATCAATTGATAATGTTCATCGTTTTTCAAGATAGTTGATGTAAATGTTTTAAATGAAAATTTTTCTATTAAATCTTTTATAAAAACTGTATGATCATTTATTGATCTACATTTTAAAGATGATGAATTTGAATCTGTTGTAACGTTTACTGCGAGATTTTGTGTAGTTAAATTATTTTTATTATCATTTATACCTGTATTTGTTGTTTGTAATGTTGAAATTGAACATAATAATTCTCGTTGCCGTTGCTTTTTTTAAAATTTTTCTTGTTTTTCCTTCAATGCATCATATAAATTATCCAAGTTCAGCTTCACACCTTGTCTGATAATATGATTTCCATCTTTAGATGTAAAACAAAGATTTTGTTTTAATTTATCAATTTCATCACAATCAATTTCAAGAATCGAAAATAAATTTGTAGATCGAATCAAAGATCGTGCATTTCGCATACCTTGAATTTGTAAAAGTTCAGCTTCAACTTTTCCACATACTTGTACAACAAAATTATAAAAATTATCATTTGATAAAAACAGAACATCATCCGGTAAATGATATAAATTATAGGTTGCCATTGATTTTATTTACAAACAACTTGCAGATATGTGAGATGGTAAATGTCGTTTATTTTCTCTTATATCGACATTTTTTTCTCAGTCACTGTTTTAGGTCTAACGAATAAGAAAAAAAGAGATATCAATGTATTTTCAAATTGAAAACACGTGATGTATGAAAAAATTCATATCTCTAGAAGAAATAAAATAACGTTCACCCGTTCACTTAATGTTACGCATGATGAAATAATTTATACGATGCACATAATATGATATAACATGCATATATATATATATATATGTTTGTTTTTACCTATCCTTCTTTACACGATATATGATTTTAACATGACTAACAATAAATGGAATTTCGTTAATCTTCCACCAATTTACCTTCATTTTCATTTTTATTATAAATAAACGGAATCTATTTGGAGTGACAAATATATTTTTTTTCTTTGAAGAAAACTTTGTTGCACCTTAATAGTTAGTCCGCCAAATTAATAGTATTTTATGTGTGATTTCTGTCAAATAGATAATATTTATCTCGTTTTTTTTGTGCTATTAATTGATATCTTGCTTGTCTCCACTACCTTATCACAACCAAATTAAAAATACATATAATATTGAAAAAAGATTTTTTTTGAATCAAATTTGTATTTTCATGCTTTTTTTACGGCATGTATTGAAAACGTCGAAAGAAAAATGTCGAGGGAAAAAAATCGAAAAAAAACGTCAAAAAATAAATGTCGAAAAAAAACATCGAGCGAAAAAAAGTCGACAGAAAAAAGATCGAGTGAAAAAAATGTCGAATCAATGAAAAATTATGTTGGATGAAAAATATAAAATATTTATTTCATTTGATTGAAAAACAAGGAAAAATACGTTAATTGATAATGACAAATGAGCATTAAAAGATTGAATCATTCGATAAAAGAAAATACGATAGAAAACACAAGAAATATGATAGGAAAGAAAATCAATATTGGTCAATAATGACATCTTAGAAGTTTCGATATGTTACATGATCGACGTTTTTTTATTTCGATTTTTTTTGTTCGACGTTTTTGCCTTCGACATTTTTTCTTTCGGCGTGTTCATAGTAAATCTTTTTTACTATTTGCCTGTACACATTATGATGTAACGAAAAAAAGCATAATATCTCATTATTATATGGGTAAATACTTATGATGATATTTGTAGAATATCACACATGTTCGAATATTTCTAGAGTAAATAATGCTATTTAATAAGTTAAAAAGATTTATTATGTATACAAAATGTTTGGACATATTTAGTAAGTTACGTGCTCTTAACATTTCAATAGTTAATATAGCTAATTTTGTACTACATGAAATTACTTCTGAATTTTTCTGATTATTCCGATCCATTCCCGTCCATTCTCATTCATTCCCTCCCATTCTCATCCATTCCCTCCGATTCTCATCCATTCCCTTCCATTCTCATCCATTTCCGTCCATTCTCATCCATTCCATTCATTCTCATCCATTCGAATGCCCGCGAATGAGTTTTTTCCCCCTTGGTCGTTAGTCATTTAAAATCGCTAAAATTACAAAAGTTGAATACAATAGTAAACAAACATTAATTATTGTGTGACTCATCCTATTAACATGCATTCCAAATTCAACTGAATTTCCATTTCAATCCTTATACTTATTCCCTGATAGATTTACATGTACAGCTACACTCTTAAGACTCTATCCTTGCACCTATACTCGCTTCATTAAATACTATATCACAGTTACTAGATCCAGAGTTGAACAATGTTTGCGAGACAACAATTTCGTCCGATGTTCATTAAATCAGTGGAGATCTTTGATATTACAGACTGTTTAGGAATAGACAAGATTGAAAACGATGATCATAGACGAAGCCGTTTCAGCTTACATATGCGATGACTTAAGATATTATCGAAGTCTTATTTGTAGTCATTGTATTTTTACGATCCCTATTAAAATGGTCGTAATACATCGTCAGGCATCGTTTATAATTACTATAAATGATACCTGTAGATGATTATTGTTTTTGATCAGCATAAGGCCGTGTGGGGCCGAAGAGGGTTGATCTGAGCAAGAATATATATATATAGTTTTCTGTTGTAAAAAAATGAAGCAGAAGTTTCTCTTTTCTTGTATTAATAATGGCATATTACAGGCGAAAAAAGATTATGAAATTTATCTCACAGTATTTTAAAATGCTATACATAAATGATAGAATTAATATGCTTTTATAGTTGTTTACCAGATTTGATTGCAAATAAGCTTGGTGTTCTGGATAGGGTGATGATTTTGTTTCAATCTTATTCTAGAAGAAATAACAGCTAAACAATATAAATAAAGTAAAATTGCTGAAAAATAAAAGAAGATTCATTCTATCTCCACAGTCTAAGTAGAGAGAAAAACCTTTCGATTGTCGAGAGGAATTATTCAATTAGAGTAGAATTAAGTACCTCAAAGTAAAATAAACGAATAATATATGATACAATAGTTCTGTCGAATGTACTCTAAACCACATTTGAAAAAATGTTTTACTAAACTTTTGCAAAAAAAACTTCATAATAAATATGTCGTCGACTATATTTTCTTTGTCGAATCCTTCTATGCTTCCGTTTTTCATTGAGATACTCTGAAAAGTTCTGCAGAACTGATAGAATCTCTTCTCGTTCAACATCTTTGAATAGAAGACTTTTTATAGTTGATCATTTTTTGACAGAACCCTTCAAGGCTCAGTATTATTGGATAGAACCTTTTTGGGTTCGGCGCTTTTTGACAGAGAACAATTCATAGTTCAACAGTTGCTGACAGAACCTTTCAAGGTTCAATGTTTTAGTGCGGAACTTCTTCAGTTCAGCATTCTGGGACACAGAACTTTTTATGGTTCAACAATAACTGGATAGTACTTTTCATGGTTCACCGTTCTAGGACGGAACCCTTCATGATTCAGCATTATTGGGCAGAATCTGTGATGGTTTAGTACTTTCATACAGAACTTTAAAAGCTTCTGCAGGAGCTGTAGAACCTTTTTCTAGTTCTACAGACCTCCTTTCTTTTTTTTCCAGAATACTGAAACTATATCCTACCGATATTCACGCCTAACCTATCGAAACACATTGACATGCCAAACACACTCACAAATATATCTATGTCTGCATCAACATCCTTTCATCCTGTCGCCTGCCTAGACATATACACTCATAGGAACAATAACACTCGCATATTCCAGCACGTGATCCTCAAGAGTTTCGACTATTTTTCACGATGGGAAAATGCTCAAAAATTTGGCAGAAAGCGTATTCGCTTCTCGTTCTGCGAAAATTGAAGAGACGACGGTGAAATTGAAGACTTTCACCGATTCTTTAAAAGTATAACAACATCATTGTATGAAAATCTATCAGAAGCTTAGGTAAAATTGCTTGCTTCTTTCAGAAGCAACTTTGCATGTTATTTTTAACGGTTCTGAATCAAATTCTCATTATCAGAATCTGAAACCATCCGGCTCAACAATCGTCCACACTGCCTCTGATACTTATCTGCACAGCCAATGAAAGCCGATATGAAACTCGCATCTATATCTACACTCCCACAAAACCACAAATTCTAGTACCATTCATTACTAACAAAGTTAATGTGCACAACAAAACAGTTACCTGAGACAAAAATACTCAGACCCAGACACTCACATCTGACACATACACATACTTAAAACATCGCCAC